TTTTAAAAGGCAAGAACCATGTCTTTAAGTAAAATTATCTATTTCCCCAAAATGGATGTGCATCAATACAAAGAATGATCTAATCTAGCATCTGTTTATTTCTGGAAGAAATCTTGATTTTGCTAATACGTGTCTTTGTATCAAAGCCACACACACAAAAAAAGCCATCCATAAAGAAACAAGCAGTGAGATGCAATCAAGCATTGATAGCAGTATTCAGATGCATCTCAAAGAACATTTAGGAGAGGAAGAATTGCAGGTTTCGTTTTATGTAGCTTCTTATAAATCAATTTTTAAAGTAATTTTCTCACATCCAGTGAGGTAAATTTGATTTCTGTAGCCGGTATTCATATCCAGAAAACAATATGCACTTTGTTCTATAATTATATGATGCCTATCATTTGAGCCCAGAGACAGTATTTTATTTATCATAGCGTCAGGTTCTCCCTAGAGCCAATGCCACAGGCGGGTAATGTTAGGTGCTTACAGAAGAGCCATACACATCAGCAACCCCTTGTGTCCTCGGTGGGCTGACGCACCACCCCTAGCATTTAAGTGGTTACCTGAGAGTTATGTCTCTGCTCCCAGGAAATAGGGATTGTACTCGGTAAGAAAAAGCAGATGGGGAGGCTAAGTGACTTGGTTGGAGGCACAGCAAGTCCTTAGTCGGGGCTGGGCTCCCATGCATGACAGGCCTTTCCATCCCTTCCCACTTCTCTGAGGTCAGCTGCCCTTTGGTCCATCCTAGTGTGTCCTGGGCTGAGGAGTGCAAAAGAGCCAGGAGTCCCCCCGAGGGCTGCAGTCTGAGGAGGACACAGGGTGGGGAAACAAGGAGCAAGACTTGAGACCAGCACTCTGCCTTCCCTGCCAGCCACCTCATTTTGACTCTGTGTGACTAGACAACCTTTGGGTGGATGAGAAGGCAGGTGGGCACCTCAGCTGTCAAACCCAGAGAATGGGTATCAGAACATGTTCCCAGCCAAAAGCCTAGTTCTGTGCTCAATACAGAACACTCAACAACTATGTATTGATGACCCACTATGTGCTAGGCACTGGGGACACTGCAGCAAGTGTGGAGCACAGGAACCCCTACCTCCCCCATGGAGCTCACATTCTGGAAGGGGAGACAGACGGCAAACAAGGTAAACACAGAAAACAGCAGACAGAACGGAGTGAGTGCCATGAGGAGACCTAAAGCAGGGTCCAGAGATGGGCCCGGCAGATAAGATTCAGCAGTCTTAAAGAAGAGGGAGACGGACAGACAGATGAGCTTGGGGATGAGGAGGGGCCTGATTGGTCCACTAGAGCAACAGCAAGGGGAACTGGCAGGAGACAGGTCTGAGAGGGGCTAGGCAAGGGCCACCCTGAGCCAGGGTTCAAGGGCAAAGAGGTATGATCTGGGAGGAGATTGCAAACAGAAGTGAGGTCCCTGGCATCCCCCGATGGAACGTGGTTGCTGGTCAGGGTGGGAGCCATGGGGTGGTAAGAGAAATCCCACTTGGAATGTATTTTCAAGGAGAACCCAACTGTCTCACCCTGCAGGGACTGTGTCTTTGTTTTGTTGTATGGTTTGAGGTTTTTTTCTGAGGATTAAACAAGGCGATATATGTCAAGTTCCCAGCACATAGTAACCTCTTGAAGACCATGTGCTTGTATTAATGGCCATCACTCCCAGACTGATCTGTGGGAACTTAGGCCTTGGGGCAGCCTTCTGAGCCCAGGGCATGTCTCAACCTGAGGACGCTGTGGTCCCTGTGACCGACTAACCCCATCAAGGTGGTGACAAGAGCAGGAGCCACCAGAGCCTGAGACTGCCTTCAAGAGCCTTCCCCTGAGGAGGAACTGTGTGAGTGACGGCTCCAGAAGGCAGTGTGGAGTAAAAATGCCAGCAGACCTCCAGCCTCAGACTCCCTGCAAGCAGCTCTGGTTCTGCCTTTTGGAATGGAGTCAGCCCTGGGACCAAGTGGGGCACTGAGGAGTTTCCAAGTCTCCTCCCCACTCCTTTCCCCAAGGTAGGGGCTGTACCCAGCTCCCAGCCCTCTTTCATGATGCCATCCCACCACTGAGATGCCAAGCAAAACATATTTTCCTTGAGACTTAGGTTTTCACACAGGAAACAGCTTAGACTAGAAATATGTCAGCCCCAGAATTGACTAGCCATTAACGTTTCGTAAGCAACTCAGGTGTGAACCCTTTGTGCATCTAGTTTGATGCAGGACAGATCAGCTATCTGGGGTTTTCTTTTTACTGTGGAGGTGTCCACAGAATCATAGGAAAGTGGTTCTTTTAAGCAGAGCAATATTTCCCAGCAAACTCGCAGGGTTCCCACAGCCCTCTGCAATATTTTATTCCTTTGGAAGCACTGCTGGGAATTTTTCTCCTGATCCTGAAAGTAGGCTGCATGTATCCACAATCCACCTCCCCACTCTTGCCTTACCCCAAGCCTTACTCTGAGTCAGCACCCTCTCATTGGGCCAGTTAGCCAGAAAGCGTCTTTAAAGGGTCTTGTTATGACTGCAGCCAGGTCTTGTGAGCAAGGGAAAGCATCAGCATTTCTGGGGCAGGAGAGTGAATGCTAACGAGGGACCTGGGAAACTGTCCTGCCACTGCCTTTTTTTTTTTTGAGTCAGGGTCTCACTGTGTTGTCTAGACTGGAGTTCTGTGGCACTATTGCAGCTCACTGCAGCCTTGACCTCCTGGGCTCAACCTCCCTAGTAGCTGGGACTACAGGTGTGCATTACTGCACCTGGCTGATTTTTTTGTAGAGCCAAGGTCTTGCTATGTTGCCCAGGCTGTTTTCGAACTCCTGAGTTCAAGAAATCCTCTCACTTCAACCCCCCTAAGTGCTGGGATGACAGGTGTGAGCCACCATGTCCAGCCCTGCTGCTCCTTTTAGACAGTGCTCCTGCTGCTATGGCCTCCTGGTGGTCCCCTCTCCTGACACCAGGCTGCTTCTGTGGAAAAAGCTCAGAAAAGGCAGGGGAATAGCAGGAGGGTTGATTTTGTGTTTGCTCCAGAGGGACAAGAGACATTTTGTCTTCTGTTAATAATAACATGAGAAACAAAATCCCCCTGGATGTTACGCATCACACATTCGAAAATATAGTCACGTGCATTCTCTCATGCGCTCTCCCAGTGCTCCATAAAGCAGACAGGGTAGTGTGCTGCCCAGAGTTTACAGGTGAAGAAAGTAGTGCCCAGAGAGACTAGAGGCATTTGGCCAATGGCAGAGCTCAAGCTAAACCGTGGGTCTCCTAAGTCCCCATCCCTCCTCACAGATGGCACTGCACAGTCCTCTTTCTCACAGGACACTGAGTCTGGCCTTCTCTGTCCCATCAGCTCCAAGCATCATATCCTCAAAAATGTTTGGTAACTAAGGCCAAACCCAGTGAGGGATCTCCATGGATTCCCGGGTCACTGCAGTCCCCAGCATGGTTGCAGTTGGTGTATGGAGGGGCCAGTATTGTGCACAGTTCTTCAAGAGAGAACGCAGCTGACTGGGAAGCACTTGGTGCCCAGTGCTCATCAGGGGACTCTGATGCTACCAGAATCCCCACCTCTCCATCCCTCCCTCACTGACTCAATAAGAACCTATATTGTGAGGCTGCAGAAATGGCAGCACCAAGGCTTAGTGGGCCATTTCCTATGGAACCCTTGGGCATCAGCCCTTCCTGGCTCTCTTTTCTGTGCCCTGGGTGTTTGTTTGTTTGTTTGTTTTTCGGTCTGATGGTGTGTGTGTGTGTGTGTGTGTGTGTGTGTGTGCTCGTCTCTACAATAAATCAAACAATTAGCTGGGAGTGGTGGCGCATGCCAGTGGGTCTCAGCTACTTAAAGGCTGAGGCGGAAGTATCATCTGAGCCCAGCAGGTTGAGATTGCAGTGGCCATGAACATGTCACTGCCCTCTTGGGAGGCAGAATAAGATTCCTACTAAAAAAAAAAAAAAATTCTGAGGTTCTTTGTACAATTAGCTGATAACTCATGATCACAAGATATCTCTGTGGACTTTAAAAATAGTTAAATGTATTTCTAAATTTTTCATTCATTTGCATAAGCATGAATGTAGGACTTCTGAAGGATTGGCAGAGTAAAATATTTTTTTTTCTTCCTTTACGCTGAAGATTCTCAATATCTTTGAACTATCAGGGGGAAGGTACATTTTTAAAGCTGCAGTGCATATTTCTAATGCTTTATGGGGACTCTG